GAAATCTGGGTTAGCTCGCTTGTCCTTAAAAGTGACCATTAGGTTTCTGTCTCATTCTCCTGCAAACTGGCTATCTGACCCGAAAAGCGTTATGTTCCTATAATTATAATTCCCACGCGATGTCACAGAGTGAGTAAAAGAAAACTGTACTGCGAACTACACACACACAAACAAACACACACACAAACACACATACAAACACACACACAAACACACACACACACACACACACACGCGCGCGCGCGCGCAGGCTCACAATGACATTTGAAATACAACTCTTCCTGGAGTTAACACAAAAAGATGATTAATCAAGCAAATTCCCCTTCAGTCTCGAACTCCCGCTCCCACAAATTCATCACCTTGATATTCAATCTCTCGTGGTGCATTTTCCACTCTCGCGCCACACCCAAAGCAAATTGAAAAAGGAGAGATAACGGTTTTGAAATTGAAACGTGCAAGAATGCAAGGGTATCGGTAACAGTGAAAATCCCTTAAAATCGAAAGTGTAATCAGGTCTAAAACACTGGTCAAACAGACAAACTTTGCTCCACTCTGATATGACGTAATAGATGACGGCATTTTCACTTGACCCCCATATCAGCACCACCATCACCACCACCCCTATCTTTCCATCTCCTCACCCACCCATGGTTGTTGTTGTTTGTTTTTGTTTTTTTGTTTGTTGTTTGTTTGGTTGTTGTTGTGTTGTTGTTTGTTTTTTCTTTTTTGTGCTGTTAGTTGTTGTTGTTGTTGTGGGGTTGTTGTTGTTGTGGGGTTTTTTTTTTGGGGGGGGGGGAGGTGGACAACTGCAGCTATTCGATTACAAATTATGACCTATCTGTCAACAGTTCAGTACTTTCAGCTTCTATTACTTTACGCATTGGGTATACATTTATCACCCTCTTGCGCTTTTTTCAATCTGAGTGACGCATTCCTCTGACTTCTCACGACATGATAAAACTGATCAACTGCGCTGCTCGCAAACTGAAACATGCCGCTCCAGCTACTGATCATAGATGGATAGACTCAGGGACGGAAAGACAAGACAATGCGAGCGTTATGAGGGATGAATGTGTTAAGAAACAACAGATAGATAGATAGATAGATAGATAGATAGATAGATAGATAGATAGATAGATAGATAGATAGATAGATAGATAGATAGATA